CGTTCACAGGGAGCGCGGCGTACGCGATAGAAATTTTGGGCAGCAACTTCATAACTCCTCTACCCGTAGACCGAGAGCGTTCAAACTTGGTAGGAATACGGGGAACAGGATGAGAACACTTATGGTGGGTGGCAGGACCGGACTTCACACACAGAGGGTGGGCGTGCGCGATAGAAATTTTGGGCCGCAACTTCATAACTCCTGTACCCGTGGACCGAGAGCGTTCAAACTTGGTAGGAATACGGGGGCAGGATAGGAGCACTTATGGATTGATAGAGGTGATAACAATTGGAAGGAGTCGATAAAGCACCTTACAAGGCGAGAGTCGCAGGATCCGCTACTTTCTTCGTATTACGGTGGAGCATTCGTACTTTGGTAAGGGATATGGATTAAGAAAGGACCGTAGATGATCAGTGATAATGATTGATAACAACTGTTAGANAGATAACGAGCCATAGAAGACGGGAGTCATTAGGTCTACAGCGTCTTCCATATTAACGGTGGAACACTTTAATAGGTGGTGTAGAAAACGAAGGGGCCGGAGGTGATTGGTGTTAGGACTGATAACACATGTGCAAGGCCTAAAAGGCTAGAGCGAATAGATTCGTTATCTTCTTCATGTCAACAGTCATACCTTGGTATTCAAACATTGTACTTTGATATTTTTCATTCAATAAGACAGGTAGATGCAGTGACAGGAACCGATAAAAGGCAATTCTTCATAACGAGATGGAAATGTGGTTTGTTTTCGCTGTTGGACTACGTCTGCTATCCAGCAAGGTTTCTGACTCAATGACACATCATGGTTTCTTTTTGTTTCGATATCTTTTGTGACTAAACTCATCCGACCGTCAATGATCTGGGATTCACAATCAGTGGTTAATCCGTGGCGAAGAAAAGTTCGCTGATAATCAAATCTGATAATGTGCGGAATTATCACTCGACAACATTTGTGAGTACCACTCACGACTCTAATTGTCGGTCAGTTTAGCCAACATCGGAACATGTCTTAGAGATGAATTTGATGTCTTGATTTGATTCGAGATGATGTCTTTTTCTTTGAAAAAAAGCCCGCGTGATATGATACGACCACATAATCTATTCGAGCTCTGTTTCAGTTTCATACTCTCACTCAGCTAAACGCGGATATTAACTCCGGAAAAGGGAGAAATTCCTTCAATCGAACATTTCTCGGGATAGCGTGTTCGGCACAAGAAGGAGGAGAACCCGGCGTTAGCTGGGCGATCCGACTTTTCATCAATAACTGAGTGAAAATAACTGTTATGCACAAAAAGCTCTACTTCTCGGAAAAGGAAAAGTGGCAGATAAGTCGCGGTGTATCGCTTGCGCGCAATTCGAGGCAGTCGATAGGTATGGGGAGAAGTTTCAGCCACTCAACGAGTAGCTACAAAATACTGTGATGGTGTCGTTCAATACAACATGTCCCGCCGAAATCGTTTGAATGACTTCACCCTAAGAAGGACCATTGGGGAACTCGAAGAAGGACAAACCATAAAAGTGTAGTCTAGGAGCACGCTATCGTTCATAGCATTATTTCGCGTGCAAGAAAAAAGCTCCGAACTTCTAGTACTGATGGCCGAATAAGAACAGGTGACAGGGCAAGACTACTTGCACCAAGGAATGATCACAATCAGCTTCTGACGTACTGAAATTTGACGGGACTCCAAGGTAAGTCATCTGATGCCATACAATGAGAGGACAATAGAATATTTGCGGTTCCTTTGCTTTCGCTAAGTTGTATCCCGCTCGCACATCAGCGAGACCGTTTACTTGATATTTGGGGCGTCGCGGATGAACCAATGAGGAATTGAGCCATTTGCTCATTTTGGATGAGAGCCTGTCCGGTCTGAGCAAAGAATCTGGACTCGCCCTCATATAACGAGAAGTGGGAACACGCAGCTCTCCCTTGAACATTGTCGAACGTGATCATTTTGGTGGTCCTGCTGTTATGGTAAGGGGAGGCATTATTTTTCCTAGCCGTACTGGCCACTACAATTTTGAATATGTAACCGTCACCAATCAGCCTTACTGTGACGAGATACTGCTTCCTCATGTGCGTCTTTTCAGGGCTGCAATCGGCCCGAATTCATTTTTGTGGTCCCAATGACCGAGCGCATCAAATAGCATCGGTGCAGGAGCTCTTAGAACAGATGACAAGCGGCGTTTTTCGGACCTAAATCTCGCCGAGCACGTGTAGAGTGTACTGGATAACGCAATGCAGCGCGTCCAAATGCACCATTGACCACCCAGCAATAGTCGAAAGCGCCGACGGAGGGATGGAATGCCCTACACTGGAACTCATTTCCAGCTTTGTGAAAAGTAATTGATCTAATTGTAATTAATTAATTAAGTAATTGATTACAAAGCATGTACTGCGGTTCGTGGTGATCACCAGAAGCTTAAGGGTTTCACATTCAAAATTCTAATTGTACGGCAATGGAACATAATACCTCCCCGTACATAACACCACGACCAACAGAACGATGACAATCGACAACATTCTTGAGAGAGTTGCGTGTTCCCACCTCTAGCCGTATGAGAGTGCGTATAGAATCACTGCTCAGACTGATTCTGCTATTGCACCACCGTATACGAACTCGCCTATACGCAAGAGTCAAACGAACACAATTTAGTGGTACCGAACAAAGGGGCCGCACTGTGCATTAGTTCTGTCACTGTAGTGCATCACACTTAAATTGAAGTCCTGTAAACTCCACTGCAGTCCCAGGAGCTGATTGACATGGGTTTCTTCTCGACTGCTGCCCATATCAGCGATCATTCCTGCAGTTGTTCTCGGCCGACCACCTGCTACTTTTTGAGCAGCAGTACTAGTGGTTCGAAACCCTCTCCATGCAAGTGGAACAATGCTGTGAGCGATAGAGCTCCTGAGCTACATTCGTCATGGTTAGACCTCCGAGTTTCCATAATACTCTTTCTCGTGTGAAGTCATCGGAGTGATGTCTTCGAGACATACTATATTAAACGGCACCACCATAGTACGTTACTACTCGTTGATTGGAACTTTTTTCATGCACATTAACTACCCTGAAGTACGCGGGCAGCCATATTTAGCGGCCTGTCGTGGCTTTCACTACCTCGAGCAAACATGCTACAAAGCCGTAGGTGCGAGGAAACCGCGTCGCGTACCACGTTCCAATTACGCGCCGCAATTCAAATCGTGCGCTCAATGTGGAAGCCTCAGGAGGCAAAAGTGTAAGTCTTCTGGCGCCAATCACGTGTCAGCTTTTCAACATCCGACGGTTGGCAGCATTTCTTTCCATCGTCATCACCATACGAGTCCGCCGCGCTAGAAGCACCCTCGCCTTACGCATATCGCCTACCACGAGATACACAATACACGCTAGGATCCCTCTCTACAGGTATCACTTCTAGTAATAAATTCGCTAGAGTACGCACAGCGTTATGCAAGCGTAGATATAGTTACTTCTCGTCGCTTGACCCTCACCTCTCCTTAGTTCTTAAGACTTAGTAATCATTCAAGTACTCCTTCCTTTACACTAATCCCATATTCCTGTATGTTAATATTTATGCCATCCTTGTATTCACACTGTTTGGTATTTTATATTTGCTTATATTTATGCGTTTTACTACATGAAGTATCTTTGATACTAGTGGTATCCTTCCTTGTATCCTTTCAGCGTACTCTTCACACGCTTGTCATATCGCTCGTCTCGCGTGCTTCGGAATCCGTCGTAGTCGTTCCAGCTCGGACGTCCGCCTACTCACCCTTCATCTTGTGATCGTACTCCTTCGGTCCTCGCTAATAGCTACCATCTTCGTCAGAGGGTTGGAAGGCCCCAACTCGTTCCCGCGTCAGGACTGAGGTGTGACACCTCCGAGCATTCTCAGGCGCACTTAACCCACCCTCAGGTGCGGTGGGCACCAGGAATCCCACAGCCGCAACAATGCAGGGCTCCTTCGCCTATACAAGTTTCTTGACCGGAGTCCACACAGAGTCACGATACGACCTAACAAGCTCTTATTCCTTGGAGAAAAGTCCAGCTTTCTATGCATAACAGTTATGCCTCTGGCACCAAACTTCCACACTTTCATTTATTTCCACCCAGTCTTAATGCTTTATGTTACTTTATCCACCTCGTCGCCAAGTTTTGCTCACTAGAGTGATATCACTGCCCATCCTATAAATGTTTTGGACAAAAGGCTTAATAATGGTTTAAAAGTTTCGTATTATGGAGAGGTGAGTGGCGGGAATTTGCTTCCAACACCCAATAAAGTTCATGTATATATTACAATGCTAATGGTCAGTGTTATGTGGCCCTCTGTCCGTTGACGAATTTTACATAAAAACTAAGATTCCAGCAGATCACCCTGTAGCTCCTAGTGATCAATTTCCTCCAGCGAACGCCAGCAGTTTCTCCATTCGACCCTATCGCAAACCAGAGTAGTCCAGTGAATCGTACTCACTCAAGGCTCATGGGACAAAACATTCCTTTCGTTCAGAGCGTTCATGAAGAAGTCTTACCATCTCGCTGGCGGCCGTCCTGGTGTTTGTTTTATGTCCCTTGGGATTCAGTCAGTACAGGCCCTGATCTAAAGGCTATAATGACCGACGTGCCCAGCTCATCTGATTTTCAATTTCTTGGCGTAACCAACGGCATCCCTGATTTTAGTTCATGAAAGAACTCATTACTCGAGATTCCCCTCCGTACTCGTGTATAATGGGAAATTCCGAGCGTCCTCTTTTCTATAGCACGTCGAAGGATGCTGACTGCATGCCCATCGTGCCTCCGTGAGTCCAAGTCTCTGAGACGTACGTCAAATTAGGAAGGACCGCAGTGGCGAAAAGTGAACACAGAACCGGATGTTCTTTGTCTTCTTTATTGATCCCTCGATGTTCTCAAATGCAGCTCACGCCGCGCGTTTCCTTATGCTCAGCTCTGGTTCTCTGGTCGTTCATCATATTGATTTCGCAACATAGATACACCAAGCTAAGACATTCAGAGATGTTTGTTCCGTTCGAAGGTCATCAGGTGCAATCCGTTCGCCATAAACATCGCATTCAATGAATTCAAATGAAGCCGCTTCTCCGCCGTCGCATGCGTATCGTCCGCTTTTCGACTGAATATCGTCTTCGTGAAGTTCACTTGTAATCCGATCTTTCCACAAGCGTTGTCGGACTCGGGCAGCATTCTTTCCACCCGCTCCATGTTCGGTGTTATAAGCACCATGTCGTCTGCAAAGCGAAGATGATTTAAGTAGCTGTCGTCGATCTTCACTCCCAAGTCTTCCCATTCCAAATGACGCATGATATTCTTGAGAGTGGTGCTGAAACGTTTGGGCGAGAACGTCTAGAACTTTGGAACAACTGCGATGTCAGTCAGGCAAAACTTTCGATTGACGATGCTGTGATTTATTTTATTATGCAACTGTCCACCAGGTGACTCCCATGTCCATCGGAGATGAGGGGGCTCCAGGAACTGCGATTACCATGGATAGTGAGGCTCGAGTGATAAACCCATACAATCCCTGCTCACTCCATTCCATTTCAGCCCGTAATTCCCGATGTGGAGCTTTTCAGCCGTTCTTCTACGTCCAATCTTGTCGCTAAAATCACCGACGACGACTTTGAAGAAAGCATGGTCTGTAAAGCATCTTCAGAACCATACAGAGTGCTGCCAGCTATTCTTTTTTCGTGGCTCGGTTAGGGCGTGGACAACGAGGATTGTTAGAGATGGGGTCGAGTCACATCTCCTCAATCACAAACGTCCGCTTCGCTCGAGCTCTCGTATGAAGTCGATGTTCAGGACCAAGTGCGTACTGACGAAAACACCTACATCGCGGACGCATCTGCTGTTCCAGGGAACATTTCTTCTCCAGTTTCGAAAATGGCGTGCAGCGGGCGGTGCCGTCTCGTTTCGGTCAGTGCATGACGTCTTGTATCATCGGATATTCGATGCACCCTTCTGATGAAAGCGTTAGTGCCTTAAAAATACAAATCGCCATATTAGTCGTTCTCCTTTAATCAGCCTATCATGGCCTAAGGAATTAGTAGCCCTTCCCGAGCGGTCCTACCCAACACTTTTGTTTGAGGGCTTCCTTAGTTCAGAAAAATGAGGCCCATTTTTATTACTGTTTTCGGTACTATTCTACTATTACACCCCCAGAACCATTCTACTGTTACACCCCCAAAAACTCAAAATTTTAATTTTCGATGAAAATTTGCCTACAGGGGTAATCCGATGCCCTGATAACGAATATGACCTTCATTTTTGGCGTTGGCGCCATTTGGCTCCAACTGACNAATTTGGCGCCAAATTGGCGCCAATTGGAGCCAAATGGCGCCAGCGCCAAAAATGAGTGTTATATTCGTTATCAGGACCTCAAATAACCCCTGAACGCAAGTTTTCAGCAAATTTGGTGAAAACACCCTTGGCGCCAAATTGGCGCCGATCGGCGCCAAATGGCGCCAACACCAAAAATGAAGGTCATATTCGTTATCAGGGCATCGGATTACCTCTATAGGCGAAGTTTCATCGAAAATTAAAATTTTGAGTTTTTGGGGGTGTAATAGTAGAATAGTGCCCTGTTTTCGGCATATGGATATCCTGGCTTGCCAGGCTCTGAAACGTGGGGGGACACTCGAGCCGTGAGGACATGCAGTCGTGCAGTTAAAGTTATATATGTATATGTTTTTGTATAAATGTCATTGACGGGGATGATGAAAGCTTCAAAATTTCATCGAAAACGTTGGCGAAAGCACACGGACCAAACACCCTGACATCAGATGGCACAGACTAAAGCATGTGGCAGTGCAACAGATTGCTTCTCCTTTAGTGGTCAGATGTTTCCCCGAGCAAGTCCTTGTTCCTAGTCCAGAATGCAGTGATTTACACGGAATGTGAAAAATCCAGATTATATCGGTAAATCAACCAGAACTTCGGAGTTATTTTTTTACAAATCTGTTTCTTCTTACTTTGGCTCTAACTGCCAACATAGGCCGCAGGGGATCCTGAAGCATTTTCTAAACTAGTGTTTTGGAGTAGTTTTCTCCTACTCTAGTCAAGCTCCGCCCGCAGTCCTTCAAATACTTGAATCACGTCCTTCAAGTTCTAAGAGTTTTAGATGTGGATTACAGGCTAACCGAGGTCGTAGATTGTAAAATAAAGCAGCACACTCTACTAACCTGGTGGCAAGACCTCGTACGATTTCCTCATCTTTTAGAGCCAGTCGCTCTTGTTCCAACTCGAATTCCAATCGCCGCTTCTCGGTTTCCAACTGTAAGCGCTCGTGAACTTCTCGATCTAGTCGGCGACCTAAGTCGAATTGTCCTCGATTGGGACGGATCGCTTCTCCGAATGAGGATTCACTCTGGACACTTACCGTCATGCCGAAGGGATCGTCGTTGATCGAATTCCTGTAAGGCTGATCGTGTTGGACGCTCAATTGCCAGTCGGATATCTGAAAAGTTCGTAGGATTGTATACTAAATCGAGAACTAGGAACTAAGCCTGACCCTATCCCAGTTTTGCGTAAAATGAAAATTATTTGGTAACCTGTAACGAATGCGCGACATGCAATAGGGTCGAAGTGTGCAAAATGTATCGTTTGCTTGGTCGACTGCAGTTCCCATACCATTCGATCATTTTGTAGTAAACCGTCCTGAAGAACATAAAAGTTACGCTAGCAGTGGTGTCAGTCGGTGTAATACGATATACTATCACTCACTGATACTCGGGCTTCTTGATCTAGTGGTATTGTCAGGCGATTGTCAGTGTTGATTGGCTTGTCCAGTGGCCAAACACAGAGGACCCCAGGACTGACTGTGCACCAGCCTGATCGCCAATTACTTCGACGAAGACGTGTGCAACTACCACCACCTCCTGGACAGCGGAACAGCACAAAACCCTGCAGTTATTACGAAACTATATTTTGCTATTTGCTCTACTGCTCAAGAGCGTAGGTGTACTTGTTTCATTCCTTATTCGAGTGAATGCCTGAGACAGTCCTTTGATGATTATAGGCGCTACCATTGGTGGCATAGCGGTCGGATAAATTTCGAAAATCATTTGGCGTAAATCAATCCCGTCTAAGGAATGCACCCCCTCATGCAACTTCCATTCAGAATCGTAGTGGCGTAATTAGTGCGTTTGCGGCCTATACAATGACATGCAGTGGCCAGCCGATGTACAAGTCAGTGCTTGTGTCCGCCCAGGCAAGTCTGGTATCAATTAACCTAACCTGGAGGGATGGGAGGCCAAGCCGGCCTGAGCGGATATCGATCCTGGATTCGGACTATGACCATGCCTGAGGGATAGTGCACCACTGCCACTACACCACCTCCGCGAAATCACAACAGCGCCTACTAATCTAGGTTTTTAGCCCTGCGAAAATGCCTTACTCTCACTGAGCTAAGCCACAGGTGTGCAAATATAATATTTGGCTACGTTCAGTATGTAATGAGAGGTCTGTCTCTAGTGGGACGGAACATACACCCAGAACTGAATGGACGCGGCGAGATTCGTGACGTTTAGGACGACTTTGGCACCTATCAATGGGACGCAAACTTAAAGTAGAGTACATTAGTATGGTCAGGTAGTCGTACTAATCAACTCTACTTCAAGTTTGGGCCCTAAGAGTAAGCGCTAAAGTCGTTTAAATTGTCACGAATTTCGCCACGCGATTTGCCGCGTCCATCCAGTTCTGGGTGAATGTACCCATACCCGTCTCGGTAAAAGTGAATGATTCTCGGTAAAAGTCAACTGCGAATTGGGTCAAACGCGAAAGCTTAGAATGTTATAGTAAGTTTGCTCGTCATCAATATATCAATATTATTTTGTTTAGTGAAAATGGAATTGTATGCTGATGGTGCCGATGGGGTGGCTTAACCAGTACCTACCTCGTTTGGTACGAGAAAATCAATATTCCTCTTATATCTTAATTACTTTTAACGAAATTCTAGAGTCAAGAAGCAGGATAGGGTGAATGAGGCCATAATGAAAATAGAGCATAAAATCTTCAGAAAAAGTATAAAGCGAAAGTTTCGGTTCGAAGGCCACTCCCACTTCCTTAATGATACTTAGTGTGATTCGCTCTCTCACAAGCACAGTAGCCAAGCGGGTTTTTGCATTTGAGGAACACTCTTTATGTTTTATCCGAATTGCGACCGTTTTTTCTCGACTGCCAGAAAATTCGGAGAAAAGGAGCCAGTGCATCTAGTGCAGCCTCTGATTTTTGTAAAGACATACATAGCATGATGCCGGTACAGATTGAAATCGCATTTTTGAAGTCCCCACTTCACTCCAAATCACTCACTTCACTCCGCAATACAAACTCTACATCATCAACCTACCTACCAAGTTACCGCCCTATATATAAGAAGGAAGTGCAAAATATAGCTAGGTTCTCCATATCAGTACCTTTATCGTAATCATAAGTTTTGCGGATGGACAGACCGACACACCGACAAATCTATAAACCGACACACCAAGCTTCCGCTTTATGAATAAGAGAGATACTAGCTTATCAGCGTACAACGTGATGAGCCAATATCAGCACTGAACCGTTTAGCTGTAAGATTTACTTGATAGTACATGTTTTGAGTTGATGTTTTGACTTGTAACGGGGTCTCGGTAGTGTCCTACTTTATATAATTCGCTAAGTGTGTCTGTTGGTGTGTCGGTGTGTTTGTGTGTGTGTGTGTGTGTGTGTGTGTCGGTGTGTCTGTGTGTGTGTGTGTGTGCGTGTGTCGGTGTGTGTGTGTCGGTGTGTGTGTGTCGGTGTGTGTGTGTCGNGGGGCAGGATGGGAACACCTTTGGTAAGTGGTAGGACCGAAATCCGTGCACAGGGAGCGCGGCGTGCGCGTTAGAAACTTTGGGCCGCAAATTCATAACTCATGTCCCCGTGGACCTAGAGCGTTCATATTTGGTAGGAGTAAGGCGGCAGGATGGGAACACCTTTGGTAAGTGGCAGGACCGGAATCCGTGCACATGGGGTGGCGTTTTGTGCCGCAATAGACAATTTGGCCGTAGGGCATTCAAACTTGGCAGGAGTACAGGCGGCAGGATGGGAACGTTTATCGTAGGTGGAAGGACCGGACCCCGCTTATAGAATGCGAAGTTCGCGCCAAACTTTCAGTTTGCTTCTAGGGCGTTCAAACTTGGTAGAAGGCAGTATGGGAACACTTATGTTGAGTAGTAGGGCCGCACTCCGCCCCCGAGGGACGGGCTTTCCGCGAAATAAATGAGTGGAAATCCATGACTCCTGACCCCGTGGACACGGAGAGCAAAATCAATAGGTAGGAGGCAGGAGGGAAACATTGGCAAAAGAAGAGGCCTTAGAGAGGAAGTTCCACGCACCAATTACCTCCTAGCGCCTTTGTTATTTACGATCTAGCCTTGACTTTTTGATATGTTTCATTCGATAAGAAGGTTAAGTTGTGTGATTATAAGGAGATGAATTTGGTTCACTTCTTGCTGTTAGGTTACGACCGCTACCCAGCAGAGTTTGCGATTAAGTAAAAGATCACGGTTTCTCTTTTCTTTGATATCATTCTTAGCAAAACTCATCCGACCGCTGATAATGTTAGATTCACATTTAATGATGTAACCGTGGAGAAAATGAGGTACATCTTTGATTTTTAAAGGTATTTGATAGTCTATACTCTCGCTCAGCGGAAAAGCGAAATAACATATTAAAAAGGGGGAATTTCAATAATTCGATATTTTTCGGGCAAAGTCCCTTTGCCCCTTCATCGCGGCTGAGGCTACTATGTAAGAGTAGCTTCAGCCGCGATGAATTCTCTGAATAACATTTTTCCTCTGATAATCGCCTTTGTGATATTAAACGATGATCTTTCGGACACAGTGAGGTTGGCTACAGAAAAAATCGCTCCCACTTCGGAGCTGATACTGAGGATGTAGAGTTTTCAAAGCAAAAGGAGAATCCGAAGTGTTATTTACGCATAGCAAATTTCTCACAGGAAGAAGGAGCCGGGCGGCCCGACTGGTAATGAATAAGAGCATGGTGCTTGGATAGCACAAATAATGGTTGGAGTCCCAGCCGGGGCTGAAGTTTAACCTAACTCGCCAAACTTGTGAGACTTTCGCAACGCCTACTGCGGCGCGCCTGCTGTTGCGAAAAACAACAGTTAACAAAACATCAAGTCATTCAGATGTCCCTATCGAAAACCTAAACGGTTCTAGTGACCAAAGAAAGGTGTTATAGGCAGTGAACTGAGCAAATCTTTTTTTGCCATTCCCATGAAGTCTCGAAATATTTGAGGTGTTGTTTACTCAGATCGTAGCCAAATGTTTGCAAAGATTTTCACGCTTATTGGCGCAACTGTATGGTGTCGCATGTCAACAGAAGCCGATCGGTATGGCACGCGCATTCCCCACATGCCGACTTCCAGCTCACATTATTGGACCAGATACAAAACAAACATCGTGAAGCAAACAACAAACTTTCGCCAAGCAGTCGACTAACCCTTCAAAAGATATCTATTGTTATAGTTTTTCTAGAGAATGTGAGAAGACATTTATTGCCCAAAAGAGCTGAATCATATGGAACTTTTTCCAGAAAGTATCCTTTCTGGTCGAATCTGGCCTAGTTTGGCAATGGATTGATTCATATTGTAGAAAAACAGACGTATCTAACAGAGATAGTATAGCTGGCCCAAGTAGCCGTACTTAATCCCAGCAGCGGCCTATGTTGATCTTGTCAGACAAAAATTTCCTTACCCACCTAACTTCCCATTATCGATCGGTGGCTATTATAGGTCTTTTGGGACAGGTACAGTTCCCACTATGCATGCGGGAGCAAGGATCTTCTTTGCGACTTACTGTTAGCAATATTCGTGTAGCATCGGCCGCTGTACGCTGATCTTTTTTTTTGTGAACTCACGACGGTCCTGTTTGTATATGGGATGACGTTCTATCTCATTGACTATCGTATGGCATTTGAAAAAGCGTCCTTCATACATACAAAAAACATACATACATACATACATACATACATACAAAAAACGTTCGTTTAAAATCACATAAAGACCATATGGTTCTGAAACGGATGCTGTCATGTGAAAAACGACAGGAACCTGCCGACGTAGTGATCGTTTCCCAGATGTCATCGAGTAGCAAGGTGTTACAGAATTGACTAAAAGTGCGCGACGTACACATAATAGTCACGCGCTCAAGTTAGCTCACTCAAACGCTTAGTTCACGATAAAAATGGCTTCTGAGTGGCTACCGGCATAGCAAATGTGGCGCTGTCAGATCGGTAAACGGCCCAGGTGAGGGCTTGAAGGTTGTATCGACTGTATGCCCCACCTAAAGGCGTACAAGTTTTAATGACATTAAAGAGGCTGCACCATCATAAGGGACATCACATCCATGTTGGAGATTCAAACAACTAATCGTGAACCATGACGACAGGGGAGGCAATATTGTACATTTTTGGCTTGATGTGCCCAGCTTTATGCGCAATATGTAGTAAGGAGTGAAATCTCGTCCGAATACACCACCCATGTAATTTCCGTCATGAAGTATTCCTACAATCCCAACTTTCACTACTTCTAGGAAGCCTTACTTTTCGCGCTATGCCTCACCAACTTTATCTGCTTCTCAACATTAGGAGGGCACCTCGAATTTATTTAGCCTTTAAGCCATACCCTCGTTTTAGCTACTATGGATTGAGATTATAACATTTGTACAGTGAAGTAACCTCAGATACCATCCCTTTGTTTCCCGAAAAATCCAATTAATTTCGCATGTGACCATATCCATAATCAACTCGATTTTATTCATTCAGAAGTATTTGTCTGTCAAAAGGGAAAGGATGTTTTGAAAAATCAAAAACGTATACTCATTTATACGAACCTTTCTAATGACTTGTCCGACAATACGTTCGAATATCCGCTCAACCAACGGCTCCAATTCGCTTCTATCGACAAATTGCACTTCGACCAGATTCAGTAGTTCACTAAATCTATACATGATAACTTGGAGCGTCCTGTCTTTTTTGTTTGGATTTTTGAAGAAGAGAAATATATATAACAAAAGGGCAACGTCAACGCAATGGCAGTTTTTCTGTCATGTTGTTAGTAAGTGAAGACTGTGCGAATCATTACCGCTGAGTTTACGAGGCATCAAGGCGAGGCAACTAACTAGGGTAACTGACCGAGATATGGCCCTTCAGCGAGACAGATAGCTAAGAACGTTGTGCGATAAACTCTAATGCAAAGCATCCAGGTCGTAACAACCTTTCTGACATGCGCGATCAGCTATTGAGTTACAAATGTTGATTTGGGCACTCTTTGATCACGTAGGTCATGGGTTCGGTAAATGACACCTTCAAGTGCTCCGGCGGTAATGGGTGGGCGTTGTGTGTATGGCGAATTATCGGGATCAGGGACTGACTTGAGAGCTAGATACGGTTTTTGATAGCAAAAACTTCGCAGACCGAAAGATATTTCGCTGAACATCAAGCAAATATGCTGAACAGTGGAATAAAGGTGTCAAATTCTACTTGCACGTTGTGATAGACCAGATTGCTCTTCAGTTTTTGGGTATTTAGGTGGGTAAGGGAGACATTTAGGCCAGAAATCTGACGTCTTCAATCTCAAAATCAGTTATGCCCCCAAATGTTGAAAGCCTATCACTCAAACACATGAGTTTGAGTGTCTATTAAAGTTCAAATGAAAGTCATGCGCATGGCAAACCTATTAGAGCCAACAAATTTGTTTTGTCAAAAGTTCAAAGTCAAAACATTGTAAGACGTCAATGGGCACTAATACTTATTTTTGAAAATTTGGAAAAAAGAAAGTCAAATTGAACCCGATGACAATGGCTCAGAATAGTGATTATTTCATACAAATGAGATTATTTAAAGCAATTAAATATGAAAGATAGATTGAAATGAACTTTCGCCTTCTCCATAGCGTTAATCCTGTGCCGTCGCAGGGTCCGCTGCTCCAGTGTCAGCCGTCTTCACTTCTTTCTATCTACGGCTTCTACCAGTGGGCTCCCTCCACTCCATCCACGGCGCGCTTATTCGGGCTTTTACAGCTTGGCCTACGCTACCATCAACGACTAATCGCTCCTCAGGTATCGGAGGTGCTGTACTCGTCCAATAGCTTCTCCGGGACCGTATACGATCGGCTCCGTGCACTACTCGGAGGATGGAACATGGTCTCTCTCACGTTCAGCCGGAGCCCACCTCTGCCAGCGCTTTCTACCATCTCTGCAGCTCATCCAAGAGAGATTCTTAGCTCTCTACTATCAAATCGATATCGCCAGCGTAGAGGATGCACTTCAGTGGTTAATCCATGAATCCTTTTGTGATGACGTTCGATGTTAGGCAAGAAGAGGAATGGTTTCTGGTGCTCGGATATCCCAGCTGTAACGTCTATTGCTTCGTTAAGGTTGTGTGGAGCGCGTAATGTGCCGTGGACCCATCGTACATGTCCTTGACCAGGGAGATAATGCATTCTGGGAAATTCCTTTCTCGGAGCTCTCTCCAGAGGACTTGTCGCGGTAGTCGGTCGAATGCCTTCTTCAGGTCGAAGAAAGCGAGGTAGCAGGGTATAGGTTTTTCCCGATATTTCTTCATTACTTGCCTAGCTAGGAACATGGCAACCACTGCAGACCTTTAAGCATGAAGCCGAACTGCTCTTGTAAGATTGGGACTAGTTCTATCAACCTTGAGTGATCAGCCTTGCGTTCCCCTTCTGCTTGAAACCTGATCGGTGCCTTATCCAGATAGTTGCCTTCACAACCTCCACTCTTTCTATTGCTCTACGCACCTCATTCTCTGTCCAGAATTCGATGGGGCCAGCCGTTACCCCCGGTTGGGGGCTGTTCTCACGGGCGGATTCTCCGTTGAGGAGCCTGTCGAATTATCCCTTCCATCTAGGCCTGACCTCACCAAGCTTTCTCAGGTTTGCATTCTCGCTATGCTTAACGAGTTCACTACCCCGATGTCCTGAGTGCCCGATGACGCGTTTTCGTCAGTTGGGAGACGGATTTCTCTACTTCCCGACTATCGCGTTTCTCATACAAGGCCTCCATTTCCGTACTCTTTGCTTTCACTACAACAGTCTTGTTGTTCCTCTAAAATTTCTGTAAACAGCTAAGTCTTCTAGAGCTCGCTCTTTTCTGCCTAACAACTCGCAGTCGAACTTCATAGTTGCAAAACCATGCTTGATTGTCCTTTCGGCAACTACCTCAAGTCTCCCTCAGCATTTCCCTTGAATATTGTAGAATGACCTTTACGGCGTTGCTCCTGGTTCACTGGACTGGCCTTTCGGGATCAGGGAGTCCAGCCTCTAATAGTATCTTCTATTTGAAGTGTTCTTTTTAGACTCATTGCAGCTTCCTTGCATCGCATCATCGTCCCCGTTCTTGTGGTTGGTTTTCGGAATATCGATGGCCATATCTGTTAGAAGAGGTCTGTGCTGTGGAGCTAGAGCTTCGCCGGGCACTACTTTGATGTACTTTATAGACTTGAGGGGTGACCGCTTAGGAGTACGATCATTATTATTTCTGCCTCTCTAGATTATGTTCTGAGTTTTCCTTACTGCAAGTGCTGAGACTGCCAGGTCAAGGGCTGTGACTAGGTCAAGTACCCCCCTCATTCTTCGTTCCCGACTCCTACTCCCTGGTCTCAGTGAATTCTCTCAAAGCTTATCCGTTCACTACCAATGTTGCCATTGATACCCCCTCTATTGTGATGTCGCCCCTCCCCGAACTGATCAGATGACATCGTCAAGGTCAGCTAGAACTCATACTTACCATAATTGGGGAGTAGGTTCGCGGTTTGTGTACGGATATTATTGTTCAATAGACCTCTTTCGTGTTTACCTTCACAGCCATGATTCGATCGCTAATCATGATGAAAGGGGAGGCGGAGTGCAGAGGCAGAGTCTCTGAGGGACTCTGCGCGATGGCTACATCGTTTTGTCCGGTGTCTTCTCCGTCATAGTAGAGCTCGACAACCTCTCCGATTTTTCTGGCCTTTTCTCCTTTTCAGCACTTTCCTGAAAACTTAGGACATAGATGTTTCCGCGCTTCTTCAGATCAGCAGCCCCTCGGGGAATTCCCTGTAAGCGATCCCACTTTCAGAGTACCTTCTTGAACTAACAACTTGAACTAACATCCGAATCATTTACTCCTGATTAGCCTTCGTATACTGTCCACAGGGCTCGGGTGAGCTCCTGCGCTCCATTTCCGGGTGACGTCTTGACTTAGACACTGGTCCTTTTTGAGTTTCAAGACATGATAATTGTGACTAGCTTACTCCACAAGCCGAGCTGTCAACCTGAGCCTGACACTTGCACCCATACCATTTTTGCAAATTTCGCAAGACATGGATTCGTTTTGACGAGATCGAACTCATGCTTATTCTGAGTGCAGACGTGAGCCTACAATCTCATCCACTTCACTATTCCTGCCTACGGAGTGAAATGAATATAATGTATAATAGATCGTATTACTTACCGAAAAGTGACCGAATCATGGCTAAATGCGTTCCCCGTGGAAGTCGACGGCCGCCCGGATTCGCGATTCAACTCGTCAAGTATAAACGACGCTTGTGATGGGTGCAATCCACCAGAAGTAGTGGCATCGGCAAAGTATGAAAATACTCTGAACATTCGCTGATACAGCACATCGGTGAGCGGATCAGAGGCTGACATCCTTCTGAAAACAGCTGGTTAGAGTAATGGGGCTGGTTGATCTGGCCAAGAAATTCATGTACGAGGTTAAATTCCTAAGGACGTAGAAATCCCTAACGTCTCTCTGTTATAGCTGATAAGCAGCTTTTCCAGAATGAGTCATATACACAGCATACTAACAACATCATGAAGACCGCCCTTGGGGAATGAATGCTAGGTCTGGGTAAGTGACAATAACCCCTCCACGAAGTCATTCAAAAATAATTAGGAAGAAATTTAATAAAAGAGAATAGGGAGACTGGCTGGAGGCGGGGGCGTGGAAGGAGTCGGAGGGGTGCGCTTCCTTGCGCGCGTCCGTCAAAACTAGATAACGCCGCAACCTCGCATGCGGCGGGTCAGTTCGTGATACTTGACGGACGTCGCAGTTGTCAGTGGGGCATACGATTTGCACTTGGTCCACGGCGGTCAGCCGAAGAGAGAGTAACACGGACAAATGCGCGAAGTGGGCGGGGTGACCTACTTTCGACGGACGCGCGCAACAGACGTCCCCCGTGGTCGGAGTGACGCAATGATGTGATGCGATGAGTCACGCCGCTACGTCGCTATAATTCTGGAAGTCCGCGAGTCCGAGTCCATACTCAAATATCGAAGGACCAACGAAACCTCACACCTCTCTAGAGTCGGTTCAATGATACCAGACTCGCTAGAAAAGAAAAATACACAGAGCCGTCTTCTGAGCTTCATTATGCAAACCACAGAGGCCGACGGATACTGGTACAATGCTGAGTGGATGTCATATGCATTGCCAAAAAGAAAAATTTATAAAGGTAGGAAGTCCTACAAGGTTAAAAAAACAAAACTTCTGCCTCATAGCGGAACTCGAAACCGTAGCCGTGGTTTGGTCAAAAGGTTAGGTGGCAAGTTTAACTTCGTTTAGAATTGAAGGAAATGTCAACCATAGGATTCGAAGTCTTGTTGGATGAGAAAACTGAGGAGCATTTGTGGAATTCAATATGAAAACTCTTTGAAAATAATGCCAAAGTATCCGCCATTTGGAACGTATTTATTTCAGCTGCGAACAAACAACGGGAAACATAGCATAGAAAGAAAGGCATAGGAAAAGAGAAAAACAGACTTTATTAGAACCCACAAATGCTCTTACATTCGCCTGCCCTTCATTTTCAAGGGCAAGGCAAAACAGTGAGGGCAAATTTTTCAACTGAGCTCAAAGCTCTTTCGCTTACCTGAGCCACTGCACTGAAATATGAATCTGTTTCTATTTCCGTCGTCACGATTCTCAAAAAAGAAACCAGGAAAATGTAATTCCATATACGTTCAAAAAATAATTGAAAATTATGTAGCATAGCTATGAATCCATTCCTTCACCGATATAACCATCAAGAAATGTTACTACCTGCTCTCAATTGGTACAATGTGATTTCAATATTCTCTGCCGGAGGTAGAAACACCATCGAGCGGAATAAGGCCCAGGTTCCACCTCCTATTGCTTTAACTTATCAAAGGAGTTTGCAGAAGAACAAGAAAGTCAAAAACCCTCATAACTCTAGCGAGGCGATGAGGAAGAAAACTGCGAAGAACCCGATAAGAGCTGTGAGATAAGTATGACCTAGACTGAGATGTTTGCGTCTGAAGGATGCTCAGATTGTTCAGTCCATATTATAACTATTTCATGCTTTTTTCTGAAATGAAGGTCCAAAATAAGTTTAACTTCAATTTCAACTGCGAAAACAGCGAGGTAGAACGAATGCTATAGGAATTCTAGAGCCCGTCAATCTTTTCTAAGACTACTGAAAAGGTCACGAAAGCATGGATCGTTTGTCAGCACCGGCAGCCATGCTTTCGCTAATCTGTTCAATCATGTTGGGGGAATTAAAACGGATCTTTCCCTACCCCTCGCACTTTTAAGAACGAGAGCTGCAAACTTAAAATCCGATTAGGGAATGTGGAAAAAAGTTCTCAAACCATCTTGTCAACAACAATGTTTCGTGTCTAAAATGTGCAATTTCGAAAATTTTGGTCAGAATCGGTCATCATGGCAAATTTTGACTCAGAAGTCAAGTCACTGACTAGTCTCATTGGTCAGCATTAGTGAGTGCAATAGAGAAGTTCTATGGTCATCAGATTCATGAAAAAATGGGTCAAGACAGCCATAGCCAGCCATGCTACTCAGTTGCCCATCATTGCACGCCCGGCTAGCCCAAATTTACATACGCGAGACAGCGATGGCCACATTAAAGCACGAGAATCCACGGAAAAATCTCTTCATGAAATTTTGTAGCAGCTGATTAACTTGTCAACTGCGTGGTTTGACGAGCAAAGGGCAAGTTAAGGGCTTCCCAGAAAAGATCCAGAGTTTTTCTTAATAAAGCCCATACATTCTCGTATTAGCTGTAGTAGTCTAAGATGTTAGAGCTTGAACCTTCAAAGTAACCCATGCTAGGTTTTAAATGAGCACCCCATGAGTGGCCGGCCCGATGAGTGGCCGGCGGCATTTTTTCCGAAAAGCTATCGTCGGTGCTCTGAACAGTTCTGAGCGGCTGTTGCATTTAGGTTCGGATTACGGGAGAGTTAGTCGTTTCAAGGAAACTCTAAATAGAATGATGGTCCCCATCCGGAGGGAATGTTCCAAACAGTGGAGCGATTTCTCAGGTCATCGTCATGTAAAAAAAGAAGCAGCGAGGAGCCTACTCATTTCCCGGAAACCCTTCTAAGCCCTCAACAGATCTACACGATGGATGAATAGCATTGGATTTCTAAATGAGTTTGTTGAATCTTCACTGAAAACCTCAAGCTTCACTGAAAATCTCAAGAAGATTGACAGTCTTTCTCGGGGAAATGCTTCAGAGAAGGAGAATCGAAAAGTGGAGCGTCATGATGTGAGATTAATGAAGAAGAGAAGGGAACAATGGACAACAAAAGGGAAAGGATAAAAATAGACATTGAAATAAAAAAAGATCCAGCAAGAAACAACTGCGCGCTTGCAGGGCGCTTTGAAGATAACTCGAAACTCCTCTCCGGGAATGGGCAATGGCGAACAGAAAACGACAGAGGCTCTTGTTGAGTGGGAGTAAATGTCATAAAATGGAATTCAGGCTTTTTGGAGTTTGCGCAGGAAACTCGACGATAACTTAAACGTCTCTGTAGAGACAGGATGCGGTAATACCGGTAAGCAAAGAAAATATTGGTAAATTTTTGTTTGCACTGGTTGCCATGTAAAACTTGCTCAACTGGGTGTGTATGATGACGTCCTCTGTTGAAGATAATTTACATTTCGAGCTGGACCGATGTAAGCAGAGAATCATCCGAGTGCTGACAAATCAACTGCACCAAATGTCGTTATAGTGCCAACGAAAATTTCTGAAAACTTTTTGCAAGGAAGTGTGTCAGCTGTTAGACAGTGAGAGTTTCGAAGCACAATCATCTCCGAGCCAATAATTGAATATTGATTAGTTTAGGAAAATCATAAATTGACTTCAGCAATCGGCCAAGCAACTACTATTTCAAATTTAGGCGATATGTCTGTCTGACTACCCCGGTTGCCCTCGCCTTCTTAATGGCTTATATGCCATAGCTTATCAGCACTCACACGTACAACGTGTTGAGCCGGTCGGCCAGTATCAGCACAGAACCGATAAGCTGTAAGCTTTACATGATATAACTTGTTTTGACATGATGTTTTGTTAACTGCTATTTTAACGCCGCAGTGCGCGAAGCGAAAGTCTCACAAGCTTTGAGAAGCCGAGACAGAAGACTTTTGCCCACGAATCGCTAACCTTGTGGGACTTTTGCTTCGCGCACTGCGGCGTTGAAACAGCAGTTAACAAAACATCAAGTCAAAACAGGATAAGAAAGTCATCGTGGGAGCTCTGTTCCAGACAAGATTTTTGGTCCCACTGTCTAACATGGCACCAATTTACCTAGCCTAAAGGCACAATTCACGATAGTATTGAGGTACCTTTCTTTTTAGGTCGAAAAGCGGAAGTTTTGTCTGGAAATAGTGCAGCAATGGGTAAGGAAGAGTATGATATGATATAGCGTATATCATGGCCGATTTCGCGGGAATAGGACTCTTCAAAAGTAGTGAGATTGTAAGGTTGTACGATATTACAATGACGGAAATGACATGGAAAGGGTATTTAGTTTTGTGAATTTTCAGTTTTTGAAATTGCGAGAGAGCTGACTACACCAAGCCAAAACTGGTCAGGGTTGCTTTTCACTGTCGCTATGGGTCATGACGAGTTGTTTGAACTTCCTACATGGTTCCTCTATAACGCCCTCTCTAGGCCGTCTTCCGACCTGACAGCGCCACATGTGGTATAGAGGGGGTCACCAATTTATCCTAGTGAGATATCTAATAAGTGATTTTTGTCGTGAACTGTGCCTTTAAAACTGCATCAGGTTTGTTTGGCTTGCATGTCCCTTGATATTGCATAAAAGCACAAGGCGCCTCCAGTCACTGCGCCAAAACAGCGCATTAACTGTTCGGTGAACTGCTACTTTAACTTCGACGGATTTTCTAAGGATAGGTCAGAAGAGGTGAAGTTACAGATACGGGCTCAAAGAACCATTTCACTGTCATGTATTGAATTGAGTGAAAGTACATTTTTCGTCGTGGGCGGAGCAAACGGGGCGAAGTTACGTGGGCTGGTGCAAAGCTGACATCATTACAATCGATTCGACCAGCCGCTGTAGCACTGAGTTTCCAGAACTACCCCGAAGAAAAGTTTAAAATGATCTTGGGTGGTTTCGTAGCGTAGGGCATGGGAGTAAGAGAGTGGGAAGTAACTGATAGACCATTGATTTGTAATCCAGGTGGAAAAAAATTAAAGGTTCTATTATATATGTAAGTAGTAGTGGGCAGTGATAAACAGTAGACAATCAAATAAACAAAGTAAATAAATAAAACGTTCAGTGGTAGCTTGCAGAGCTAATGCATCTTTTCAGAGCATAATACAGTGAAATTTTGAAAAGATTACCGACATGTGAAGCAATGGATGTTA